CATCAACACTGCATAATGTCCGTGCAATTCAGATAATGACTGGAGCCTTGACAGGTTGCAGACCGGCAGTGACTTTAGATGAAGGCGTCGTCCATTGATTCAGAGCCCAAACTAACCTCACAGGGTTTCAGTTTGATGATGAAAAATGCATATAAAATTACCTCGAAGCGGCGTCGGGAAATACTTTGAGAGGAAAAATGCTGTGGCTCGGCTACAGAGAGGCAAAACGCTCGGAAATAAGACCTCCTAAAATCCAGAGCGGCACAGCTGGTCGCTCAAATCACTGGAGCTAGCTAGGCTAACTAGCCGGGACAGACCAGCTAACTTGACGCTAGCTTCTCATGGCAACGAACCAGCGCCGGGCGCTCAAAGCTCGGCTTCACATTCACACGGCGGAGCGGACAAAAGGCGAGCCACCGAAATGAGAAATAACCCCTACCTTGAATGCCCGTTTGATGTGACATTGTGCCTGTCGTCGGACAGAGGAGTGAAGCAGCTGACCAGGCGAGAGCGAAGAGAAGAAGCAGGAAGTGAATTATAACGGAGAGACCCGCCCCGAGTCTGCGGGAGTCACGTGACCTACCGCCTGTTTAAGGAGATTTACTCACTTACTTATTTACGGGAAACGGGGGAAAAAATGAGGTATTTACGGAGCCCGTCTGGTGACATCAGAGAAAAAACAATAAATAAATAAAAAGTGTTCTATTAAAGCAACAAAAGCTGGGTAGTACTTGAATTGCTACAAAATAAAGCTGTATTTCGCTCAGCTTACATTACTGGCTGGCATTGTTGACACCAGCAGACACCATAAAACCTGACTTCTGGACATCATGGCATGGAGTCGTGCATCCCGGTTTTCCATGTCTGGCATACAGCTATTAATTTTTGCTTTTAAACTGATCAGATTGATCCTGTGTCCAGACAGAGGGATAATCAGTGGGCCTGGCATCATGACCTGTTTGTTCTGAAGATCCTGCAGCTTCCACTTCCACGTCCTGACACAAGAGGAACCAAAGAGCTCTGTTCAGTTGAAAGCACATCTTCCGAAGTTAGGATTTTTTTTCCCAAAGTTGGACTGGAATTTATTTCAATTTAATCTGTGAATGTCAGCTGCTCATTTTCAACAGTGAAGCTTTTTAGGTCGAAGAAGTTTATCATTTTGGAGAAAGCCTCATCAACATCAATATTTCCATTAAAAAAGAGACCAAAATAAGTAGTATATTTGATAGAGAAAAAGCCTCTCAGACTTTGAGCTCAAAGCATATATGTATATATGTTTATTAGACAATAAATCACCATATTTTACATAATTATCTTGGTGGAAGCCATTTGTTTGTTAAGTACTTAGTGAAACATATTTAGGCCTACTGTATCTTGCAAGTATTTTCAAAACAACCTTGATAGAAAGCAGAAAGAAAAACTGTACTTAAAAAAAATTGTATAGACAGAATTCTGACTATAGAGAGAAATAGAGATCACGGATCAGGACTTTAAACAGGGACAATGAAAGATTTAAACAAAGACAAAAAAGACTATATCAGACATTAATACAGGCGAGATCTGGCATTTAGACAGAGACAGAGATCTTACATCGCTGAGATTTATGCAAAAAACAAAGAATTCAGGATCTGACACAAAGTGTTGATGAAAAAACTGATGAGAGACAGATGGCATGAAGATAATTCATTCAAGATGCTACAAAAGAACAAATGTGCACTGAAGGTAAAAAGAAAATACAGACAGATGAAAAGATTCCCTCAGAGAGAAACAGAGAACCTTGAACTACAAACTGACATGCCAGGGAACCAACTGGTGTATCAGAGTGGATTTGTCACACCTACCACAGGCATATTATAAATCCAAAACATATATGTTGGTGAGGGCCAATATTATCTTTATTTGTATTTTTTGAGATTTACAGCCTAAAAATGCTTTGTCGTGATATTTTTTGTTTGCTTAATTTTTAAAGAAGATCTGAAGAATTATGCATCCGCGACCCTCAGTGGGGTCCCATATCTTTAGTGAATGTGGCATTAAATTGATGCATACACCAAAGACATGCCTACATAGATAGTTCATTGAAGGATGGCTATTGTAGTGGCATCTTTGCTGGAGCAAAGTTATATTTTTAGAGAAGAAAAGTCAATGGCACAAGTGCTTTCCACGTGTCAATAACGCATGAACCAAATTGTTTTAAACATATTGCTTAGTTTAGACTTTACAAAGAAACCTGTCTTTCAGAGAAAATAATACACACAATGCGAAAACACAAAGCAAAACAACAACAAAACAAATAAAGGCAAGCAGGGACAAAAGCAACAACAGTTACAAAGGTCAGTTTTGGCCTCCTATCTGTTCAACTTCGTGTCCACGTTTTAATTTATTTATTCATAATGCAGTATCTCGCCAATGCCACATATTTTAGATTGATTTCTAGCCCACGTATGTCTAAAACATTAAATTATTATTATTTTTTTTTTTTTAAAAACAGACAAATCTCCTCAGAACCAGGGCCTGGATCTTAGGGATGCACTGAGTGGCACAAAAACGGAAGAAATCTTAACTTTCTCACATTTAAATATGAAACTTTAACAGATAATATGTTTAATAGGTTACGTAGTATACGTTTGTAAAGCAGTGATTTCGTGTACTGCCCTCTAAAGACATGCTCAAATGTCTAAATAAAGCTTTATCAAAAGTGTTTAGAGAGGGGAAAAAAAAACCCAAAACAAACAAAGCAGGTTTTCGTTTATTTTGAAAGAGGTAAACGGATGTGATGCGCTTGTATCGGCTCCAGCTCGACTCTGGTGGATAACATTGCGTGGAAAATGATGTTAAGTCCGCTGCATGGAGCCGACCTCCTCCATCCACGCTCCGGCGGCTTCCCACCGAGTGCCCGCTGAAGAAGCTCCGTCGGGCGGGGGACGAGCTGCGGAATCTCCGCCCGGCGCATTCACGGGCCGGGGGGCACCATGGCTTGAGGATTTGGGACTGGCTGGGAGGGGTGGGGGACTCCACCGTGCGCTGCTGACAACAGGTCACATGGATAATCCCTCTCCAAAGCAAACCCACCGTGTCATCCCGTGTTTTGGGGTGATTAGAGCGCCGCTGTCGGCTTGATGTGGCAGCCGAGCCGAGCGGGAGGCGGGCGGCTCGTCCTGGCTGTCGACTGAGAGGAGAACGGCGTGGAGGTGCAGGTGCGTTCAGGGAACAGATGATGTCTCGCTCAGACTGGCCGGATTTCGCTCATTCCACGTCTTTGTCAAGACAGGCTCGTTTAGGTCGTGGGATCAGATAGATTTTGGATGGAGATGGCGTGTTTCCAACGGGGATTGCGGCTGATGTGAGATAGTCAGAATTTACCAGAGGTAGCCGAAATAAAGATGGCTCATTTAGTGTCTGTTTCCTGCAGCACCTGTCACGAGAAAAATGAACTAATATGATCATATTCAGTGATCATGAATATGGGAAATGATAAATGACTGCTGCCACATTTACAGTCAGTTTACTGTATGAAAACCTCACTTATGTAAAGACATGCTCATTTTCTTTATCTATTATTATTATTTATTTTTATTTTTTTAACAAATTCTCCAATGTTGTCATGTCATATCTTTTTTTCACTTACTGCTTCAGATCGGGACTATAACTTGAAATGATAGCTCTACTGACCATCACTTATCAAACAAGCGATGGTCAGTTTTTCCTCCTCGTTTTGCTGTAAATTATAATGTAGTCGAAATACAAATCTGCCACCCAAACACACTTTTAAACCTGCACATGCCCCCGATGACATCACACAGGCCAACGAATTTGATATTGTGTATTTTTTTTCCTTTCTATTTATTCCTGTTATTCTGTGATCTGTAACAATACAACTCTTTGTATTTTGTTATTGGTGAATTTGTGGCTGACCTTTTTTTTTTTTGCTGAAGTTGTTGTTTTGGTGATGACGTCTCCAACTGCGTCATTAACCCCTAACCCCACCTCCACTAGTGCATGGCTTGGTGTCCAACAGTAATTGGAAATAGTTTTGACTTAATATCAAGAGTTTACTGTGTTGGCTACATTTGGTTTTGATTGTTTTTGTTTTTGAAACCTCTTTGTTTTAAGGCCTGATATTCACAGCTCATACACTGTGAAGCATTCATATTTGACAATGACAAGCATAATCTTTTGACTGATTGAAAGGACTATGACAGATTGCTTCACCTTCCATGCCAATATTGTTGAAGTCGAGCATTTTATTTCACAACTTTCTACAGGCATTGAAGTTAATTTAGGGACATAAATGATGCCAGAATTCTGCCTTTAGAGATATACTCTAACTCAACATGATCTTGGTATTTCCACCCAAGCTTTTATAAAAAAAAAACACCCCCTGCAAAAAACTATATAACCTGTATGATATGTTCAAACAAGAAAATATTAAGATTTGTACAAGTTAAAGTGCTGAAGATGAACACAATGATCATTTGAGGTTGGTCAGTCATATGCATCATGGTATGGAGGTCTTCAGTCTTAGTCTGTTCCTGAATCTTGCAAGCTTCTGAAGAAACCCCCTTGCGAGCTATTATGTTTGCTAACTGATTAGATCCATCCTGGAGCTGGAGATGTCATTATGATGTCATGCATGCAAAGCAGAACATAATTCAGTTTTTAAAGAAAATTATTTAGTAAAATCCTACATTATTACTCGGGTGTGCTTTTGTTATTGAACAAAAAAACAACAACAGTGCATGTTGTCTTGAACAAGTGACTGCTGTGTGGGAGGCAGCCGCTTAGTATCACTCAGTTGGCATTTCGTGACGAGTCAAACTTTGGTGCCGGTGAAATTCAATATCCACATGGGTGTTCAAACCGTGGCAGCTCTATTTCCGGAGCCATGATATCATCCCAAATTTCCGCTTCGAGGGGTATTTTAGGAAAAGATGTCAAAAGCAGGGAACTCGCTGTGGAACATCCAGGTCAGTAAGGCGGCTGCAGAGAGAAGCGGTTCGGAGCGGGTCTCCGGCAGTGGAGAAGAGCTGGAATCGGAAGAGGGGCAGGCGGGCCCGGCCGCTCGGAGTGTGTTTGGCAGGTGTTCCCTCCAAAGCCTCTGCATAAAGCTGCTACAGTTTTTTCGGCGATGCACAGATCTGACAGGCTCAAAGGATAAGCCTTTAAAAGCCTGCGACTGATAGCTTGGAGAGCTTGTAAGGCTCTGCAGATTCCATCTTATCCAAGAAAGGTACAGTCCTCCTTTGAACTGTTTGTCAATGGTGTCACTTAAGTGTCTGATCCCAATCTCTTTGTGACATTTCTGTATTAATATAAGGAGAGTACTGCAGTTTTTTTTTTGTTTTTTTTTCATGGATGCTGTACTATTTGTGGTGGTGCTAAACTGATTTATCTGAACTGAGAGCTAACCCAATCCACATATACCATCAGTGATATTCAGCTCTCTAAACTAAAACCTGGGGGGTGTTTTCTCCTTAATCTGTTCTCGCTGATGTGATTGTAATTGAATCCGACTGAAAGGGACGCTTCTCACCCCCCCCCCCGTTGTTCCTCCAGGTGTTTGTGCGGCTGAGGGGGCTTCAGCAGGATGGAAATAGATTCCTGTTTTCGCTACTACTTCCAGCACCCGTGGTCGCGTCTCATCGTGGCCTACCTCGTCACCTTCTTCAACTTCCTCATCTTCGCCGAGGACCCCATCTCCCACAGCCAGACGCAAGCTCACATGATTGTGGTGGGCAACTGCTTCTCCTTCCTGTTCAACAAGTACCCGGGCCTCGGGTGGAACATCCTGAAAGTAATGTGCTGGATCCTGGCCATTATCACTGGTCTGTTAGCCGGGAAGTTTATATTCCACCGCCAGCTCTTTGGTAAGTCATGCGCTCGCTAATGCACAGGAATGTGCAGAGTAATGGCTTTACAATCCTTCCTGGGCTACTCTTGTTGTGATTATTGATCGGTATAAAAAAACAACTTGTTCTTTCATTTGTTTTTAAGTTGTATTCTGGTCTCAGGTAAAGTTTTTTTTCTCACACCTATCAGTGTTTGTACTCGTCTGCTAAGATTGATTGCTGCCCATCTTGTCCTGTAGCTGATGTAATTTGCCTCACAAAAACCTTTGCCTTTAGCAAGCTTTTCTGATACCTTATCTGAGCATAAATTATTTTATAAAAACAAATTGAGAATTGGATTAACATTATGAGACACTCGTAATGCAGAAATGTGAGTTTTCATTCGACCTTTGCATTCAGAATAGCCTTTTAAGAAAAAATTTGAACCTACTTTGTTCTATGCCAGAAATGTGGCTTGAGTCAGTGCATTGACACCAATGAATCAGTATTGTCTCTTAGACAATGCTTGCTTTGATAAACCAGCAGTTTTTTCTGTCCAGGAAGTACAAAAGAGTTATTTCAGCCATTGTTTATTCTTCAGTCACCATTTTGAAGCCTCATGTTTAGCATTTGAGGTCAGTGTTGTCTTTACTTGATCTGAAGCAGACTTGGAACAAAAGACTCATATCATCAGCAGATGGTAACTGCCTATCAGTACTTAGAATCAAATTACACATGGTCCAATCACTGATGATTGGACCATTGAGTCAAATCTTTTAATTTCATCTTTAAAGTCAGATGCTTTAAACTTAGACTGAAGTCCAAATTTGCTGTGCTTGAAAAGCTAAAAAGTGGTCTGAAATATTATTTTGAAGCATAACATTTTTTCCACTAAACCATGTCTTTGAACTAAATACAATGTGCAAATTTACATTTATGATGAATGTTTTCTTACGACAAAGATGTATTAAGAAGCAGACATACTGGTGAATGCACACAAAAAGTTACGTTATACAGTTGCTAATGCTAAACATGCTAATTGATCTAACTGCTAATAAAAGATGCTGGAGACAGTTTAAAATGTCAGAAACAAATAACTGTTTTAAAATAGTTAAATTATAGTTATTAAATCAAAGTTGACTAAAACTGGCCCAAGCGTAACAAATGATTAGTCTGTCTATCTTTCTTATTCACTATTCTTTTAAATGAAACCTGAAGATTTTGTCATTGTAGCTCCCACTCTGTTGCCTTCATGTGCCAGATGTTTTTCTCCAGCTCCCTCCCTTCACCTTTCACACCTCCATAACAGATTTCCTCTGTTGTTGGCCACTTACCACTTCTCTCATCCCCACTTTCAGTTCTGACGAGTTTGTGTTTCCAGTATGAATCTCTTGTCTCCTCTCAAATAGGCTGTGGCTCCAATCTCTGCAGCGCTTCACTCATTCAAACTGAACAGCACTTTTTTTTTCTTTTTTTTGTACCTCTCATTGAACTCTTTCACATGGTTCACTCTCGCATCGCGCTAGTAATATTATTGAGCACAATGGGTGCTTTGGATGAACTACTAATGACAATAATTGGAGGATGGGGAGCAGTAATTGTGCGATGGATTTCAATCTTTTCTGACCGCAGTAGAGAGGTAACAATGCATAATGACATGATGGCTAAAGCGATATTAAAACCCACAGCAAGAAGAAAAATGCTACTTTTAAGAACATTTCGTTACCTGCACAAAGCCTTGTTGTGTAGGTAGCTGCTGTTCCTGTTTGATTTTTTTGTGTCAGACAACTTGTGCTTTCACGTGTGGGTGTCTTTTGTAAAATTAATTGGAGCTGAGGTATTTTTTTAGTGCCATGTGTGAATGTGTTCACCCTGTGAGGATTTGGAGAGGATGGGTGAAGTGAGATTTAGACAGCGAGGCAGATGCGGCGAGTCGGAGAGACAAGAGACGTCCTGCGCAACGTTTCAGTGCATCAGTTATGTAATCGCCAACCCAGGTGAGCTGGGAATGCTGCACTCTACACAGTCAGTGCTTCAGCCAAATCTGTTCCACTGTATTTACTGCAGGCTCTGACCACTCCTCTGTTAACATGTTTTGAAAGACTTAAAATTATCTATAAAAAAAAAAAAAGAAAAAGAAAAAAAAAGATTTCAGTGCAACCTTTTTCAAAATCTTTTTCATGCTGTGTATTTTTTTGACCGAAGACTGCCTCTTGTCTGCAACTGTGGCGACTTACCATTAGTCATCTTGGCTTTCAACAGCCTGTTGTGGTTTACACCCCGTTTAAAAGTGAAAATTAGCTGTGCTGTTGAGGTGACAAGATACAAATATTGTTTTTAATATAGTGTAGGCAGTTACCAAATTGCTAAAGATAGTAAATCCAAGAGTTTGCATTTGAGTGACTGCTGTGTAAACTCAGATTGCTCTCATGGGTCGTCTTTGACCTCGTTACCAAACACTTCTCCCTCATACGGTGGCCCTGAGGTGCAAAACACTACAACATTAAGGAAAGCACTACAACATTAACAAAAACACAACAACATTAAAAAAACACGACAACATTAACGAAAACACAACAACATTAAGAAAAACACGACAACATTAACAAAAACACAACAACATTAACGGAAACACAACAACATTAACGGAAACACAACAACATTAACAAAAACACAACAACATTAACAAAAACACAACAACATTAACGAAAGCACTACAACATTAAGGAAAACACAACAACATTAACAAAAACACAACAACATTAACGAAAACACTACAACATTAAGGAAAACACAACGGAAGAGGTAGGTCCCAGTGGGAGACCTAAGAAGTCGCTGATTGGACGACAGGTCGTTTTACTTTTGAACCGGAAGTTCTTCTGGCTTTAACTTGATTGCTGAAAACAAGAATGTTCTCAGTGATCCAAACCTTAGTACTGTTATTCGTAAATATTTTGAGTCAGGACATACTTACGAGGTGATACTGGACATGCTCCAGACCAACCACGAAGTGTCGGTTAGCATGCGTTCAGTAAAGACTCATTTGAAAGTAGCAGGGCTGCATTGAAGAGGCAACTACTCTCCACTTCCTGAAGTGAGACGTGTCATTATGTCCGAGCTTAGAGGACCAGGGCAATTATTTGGCTATCGGACCATGTGGCAAGTTCTCAAACTAAAACACAACCTGCGTGTCAAACGTGATGTTGTAATGAGACTGCTGAGGCAGCTGAATCCTCAAGGCATCGCTCTGAGAACTCGCAGGTTTACAAGACGCACGTATCCCTCCACGGGGCCCAATTACATATAGCATGTAGATGGTTACGACAAAACTGAAGCCATTCGGCTTGGCCATCTCAGGGTGCATTGATGGTTTTTCGAGAAGGATAATGTGATATAAGACAGCTGTGGAAAGATAGTTTAAATCCCAAGGCCACTTACCTTTGAGAAATGAAGAGAACATTTTCCTGGTAAATTAATTGGTTCCCATGTTTTGGAAGGGACACATTATTTCAGGTGGCTAAAATATATGGTTCCCCCTCATATCTCTGGCAAATAAAGAGGAAATGTTTTCAAATAATTTGTTGTTGACGAAGAGATGAATAAGCACAGTTGAAGACTTGTTGGTAAATAGTCCCCATGTTTTGAAGGGGGAACAGATTATTTTAGTCACCTAAAATATATGGCTTTCCCCTCATAACTCTGGCAAACAAGGAGCAAATTCTACCAAAATCACAGGATTTATTGTTGATGATGAGAGGAATAAACAGAGAAAAAAATCTTGCTGGTAAATTAAGTTGTTCCCATATTATGGAGGGGGACCAGATTATAATTTCCTCCATTCTTTCCTACCCTTACCGAACCTTGGGGAATAAAGAACAACTGTTTCCAAATTCTCAAAAATCTTTACATACACACTACGTGTTGGGAAAACTGTGTTTGGTGCCTGACTTATTTCTGCCAGGCTTACGTGAGAAACGTTGGAAAAAGAGCGATTCTCTTGGCGTATAAAATAACAAAAAACAGCATCAGAAGATCTTGTTTATTTATTTATTATACAATTTTTTAAACAACAGCTGCCAATTAAACTCAATGTTACAACCTTCACATGATTATATGAGTTGTTTTACCGAGAAATCGATCAGAAGCGACGTGAAAATGGTCAGATCCGCCTCATTCGTCTCTCTGGCTGTAATGATCGCTCCCGACACAGGGGAACCCAATTTAGCACCTACCCGAACTTTCATTTCTACCTTTTGTTTTAACCCCTTTCTCCCAAGAGAATACTTTGGTCGCTCCTCATTTTTCTATTCAAGGAAGGTGCTGAGGGCTGGTGTACGGCAGGATGGGACAGTCTGTTGTGCTAGAAGTAAAGCAAAGAAAAAATGTCGCACATCACATTCATGCAAACAGACGATATGTATTACGAACTGAAGTAAAGCTGCCACAAGTATAAATTAAGTGCGAGTTCGCTTCCAAAAAGGCGGCTAGCCTGATCGCAGTGCAGCAGAACCAGAACGACACCAATTATCCTAAAAAAGTAGTGCCTAAGGCTGTAACGTACCTTACGATATATAGCTAATACAATTCTGCTGTATTATAGCGACTTTGTGTACTTTTAATTGCATTTATAATGAACAACTAGATGACAGTGGACACGGTCTGGAGACCACTAGCGTTAGCAAGTTACTACATCCATAAGAAATATGAATCTTCCTTTATACTTTTTAACTTACTTGAACATTGTGGAGTATCCTCCATACAAGTTTCTTGAAGCCTCTTGCCACAATTACTGCAAAAATTTGGTGACGGCTCAACCACCTCCTTTCCACAGTTCGGGCAATACATGGCGAAGTGACTGTATTCCCGCTTCCTTAGGTTTTCAATCAAACGAAGCACTCCAGCATAACTTCCGGTTCAAAAGTAAAACGACCTGTCGTCCAATCAGCGACTTCTTAGGTCTCCCACTGGGACCTACCTCTTCCGTTGTGTTTTCCTTAATGTTGTAGTGCTTTCGTTAATGTTGTTGTGTTTTTGTTAATGTTGTTGTGTTTTCGTTAATGTTGTTGTGTTTTCGTTAATGTTGTTGTGTTTTCGTTAATGTTGTTGTGTTTTTGTTAATGTTGTTGTGTTTTCGTTAATGTTGTTGTGTTTTTGTTAATGTTGTTGTGTTTCCGTTAATGTTGTTGTGTTTTTGTTAATGTTGTTGTGTTTTTGTTAATGTTGTTGTGTTTTTGTTAATGTTGTTGTGTTTTTGTTAATGTTGTTGTGTTTCCGTTAATGTTGTTGTGTTTTTGTTAATGTTGTTGTGTTTTTGTTAATGTTGTTGTGTTTTCGTTAATGTTGTTGTGTTTTTGTTAATGTTGTTGTGTTTTTGTTAATGTTGTTGTGTTTTTGTTAATGTTGTAGTGTTTTGCACCTCAGGGCCACCGTACCCTCAGGCTAAGACAACACCTCCTGCACCACAGCTTCATCATCTCTTTGCACTTGAACCATCCTTTCTCCAAAGTGGAATGATGAAGCAACACACAACATCTACAACAATTATATTTAATCCAGATTAAATTATATTTAATCCAGAATCTAGCATTCTAAAGACAAGGTGTTGTCCTTTTGCAGTTTGCAGAGAAACCAGAAACATTGGAGCAAGATTCTGACATGATTCTGGATGAATATTTGACCCCTCTCTTGTAAATTGACCCCTCTCATGTAAATCATGCTTGTTACTATCCAAACTTTCAGGGACATTCTGCAAATTTTCAGTAGGATTGAGGTGATCAGTAAAACCAATTTTGATGTGTATGCTGGCGAGTTGTTCTCCGCACTCAATTTGATCAAAATTTCACATATCCAGCAGCTAATCTGAGGGAACATTTAATCACTTGGAGGTAGTCTTGCATCTTTCTCCCATCCCGTAGTGAAGCATACCCTCAGAATGATGGTGCCACCACCATGCAGTTGATGCACTATTATTAGATGTGATAGCATCACTCCGCTAATTATTAACAAGAGATTTCTAAATGTCAGAAATCTCTTGTCATTGTAATAACTTTTGGTTTACGTGTTTCTCTAAAAGGTGCTTAGCTACATTTAATTAGACAAGCAAGCCTCATATTCAATATCCCAATTTATTGAATATGTCTTCATCAGTGAACATTGTTTTGGAATGGTGAAACCATTCGTTTGCAACCTCCAAAAAAAAACAGATGATGAGTTATACTTGTCTGGGAAATACAGTATTTAGCCAGAAATGATAAAGGTTCCTTCTCCAACATGTCCAGATTGAGTAGTCCTGTGTTGTTTTAAGCCATAGAGCAGGCAGACGCTCAGCATATTGTTTTACCGCTGTGTCTCATGGAGAAAAATCTAATGAACTGTTGATGATGAATAACTTGTGACAGATTCTGTGATTTAAAGAAAGGACATTTGAGATTCAAGGGACGACCTCTTCCGTGCAGCCACTCAAGGCAATTTGTGATCTTTATTGAGTGGCCGCTAGCCGACTACTTCTGGTTTAAAAAAATAAATAAAAAATGCGGAAGTATGGCCGTCACAACACATTTGTCTTGAGGTTTAATACTCGCCGGTTTCGTGAGAAGCTTTTTATTCGTGCCGTTTGTGTCTTTGCAGTGGTTTGCAATGTTTTCAGATCAAGCTTTTATTGAGTGGTGAAAGTAGGTTGTCGAGATTTTACACACAAGAACTAGTAGATAAAAATATAAACAATTTCCTGTTACCAGTATATAGTAAAGACATACTCTATACTGGACGTTTGCAATCTTCCAAAAATAAGGAAGGAAACTATTAGCTATAGCCAATTGCAAAGGTATCTTGTTAGAAGAAAACATTGAGAAACTAATAATATGTTATTTATGTTAACAACCCATGACATCTCTGTACTTCTCAAGGAGCCTATAACTTGACCCCACAAGATAGGAGGTGATTTTATCTGGTGAAATCTAGCAAAATAATTTTTTTTGACGGGAATGAGATGTTGAGATAGCAGATACTCTAAATGTCAGAAATCTCTTTTGGCTCCAGAAGAGATTTATATACATCTAAAAATATATATGTATATTTTTTATTTTTTTTATTTATTTTTTTTGCAAGCTGCACCACCTCATCATGAGAGTTTTGCGTTATACGTATGGCTTTGCAGTAAATGATTATCTCGTCCTCTTAATGTGAAAAATGAAAGCGCTTCTCATTACAGATTCTCATGCTGCCTCGTCTCCAAACGTTAGCATAATGTATTCTCTAATGCCTCCCCAAGGCTTTGGGGATTCTGCAAGGTAAAGTGAATGATAATTTTGAAGTCATGTCACATATTTTTCTAAATCTATTAAATTCTCGCTTTCACTGAGTCTTGCGTTCAATCTGTCTGCTCTGTCTCCTCTCTGAGTCATTTCATACTGTGTGCAGCACAAGAAAAGGTCAAAGTTGCCTGCTTCGTTTGGTCAGGTCTGCTATAACAAATGGATGTTCTGCGGTGCTCTGTGTGTGTGTGTGGGTGTGTGTGTGTGTGTGTTTTCTGTGCTGGAGTATGCTGACCCTGCTGTTGCTCCTCTTGCTTCCCTCTGTGGGGTCTTGATGATTGTAGCCTACAGGAAGCCATCTGGATTCTGTCATATGGTATTATGTAGGAAGCAATGGCTGTGAAAGCCTATCTATGTGTAGCACTGTGTGCCAAAATATGTGGATTTGCTGGGGTGGCTGTGTGGAGAATTTGTTTGTAGACACCTTCTAATTTTCTGTCCCTGTACACAGCAGGGAAAATAAGTGTTTGATGCACTGAGCATTTTTTTTTTTACGTTTCCCCGCTAGCAAAGAATGGACAGGTCTGTGATTTTTGTTGTAGGATGAATGTGAGATGGTATCCTAGAAAAAAAAATTCCACTGTATATATATATTTTTTTAACAGTCAATGTTAATTTTATTGTATGCGATACATTTTTGATACGATAGAAAAATACAACTTAATATTTGTTACAGAAATTTGTGTTTATAATCCCAGAGGCCAGATGTCTCCTGTAGTTGTTGAGCAGGTTTGCGCATCATCCATACACATGTTTCTGTGTTGCGTTTCAATTTCAGTTCCCTTTTAAAAGATTTTCCACCAGGTTCCGATCTGGAGGCGAGCTGAGCTGCCCTAGGACCCTGAAGTGGTTCTTTGGTGGCAACAGAGGTTGAAGCAATCAGTGGATTGTGATTCAGACCCTCTCCCTGTCCGTCTCTCCAAGTCTTTTGACCTGGTAAATCGCTATAGAAGTAACATTAAAATGATTGTGTGTATTGTTTTATATATATATATATATATATTATAAAACTAAGTAATTACAAATTAATTATATTAGTTTTATAGTATGAATTATTAAGCAGCATTTATTTATTTGTTTATGTACTTAGCTGTGGCTTTTGGGCTTCCATAGCAACGATGTCACTAACAAACCACACAGATTGCTAGACTAGCAAAAGTGGACAGCAGCCAAAACAAAAATGATATTTTTACCAGAATCTGTCTCTGTTTTTGGCCTGGAGTCAACACTTAAGTGAAATGAAACAGTTCAGCAGACCTCTTAATGGAACAGACTCGATGGCCCAGCAGCCCCTCTTCCTATCTTTGCTCAGCAGCAGTCTCCCTGTGGAGGGAGCTGCGTTGTCATCTTTCCACCTTTGATTTATTATCTAGGTACTTAGTAACAGAGGAGTAAAGCTCCGGGGAGATCAGTCTTGTCTGCTAGCAGCCCTTGCGCCCCACCCTGCCCTGTGGTGATGTAAATGTGTGCCATGATGAATAGGGATGTTGTTTTCATACCAAGTTAAAGACAGAAACGAAGCACGAGAAGGACCCAACCCTCCTTGGGGATACAAAGGAGGCAGAGTTGTTATTTTGTTGTTTTTTAAATCAAGAGAGGGTACAGCAGACTCTGCAGCCTAAGAAGATGGCCCATATATTAACGACAACTGCTAAACGGGGCGAGTGGCTTTGTTTGCATCCCTTGTTGAGATTTACTCAATATTCAGGATTCTTGAAAAGTTAAAGCTGATGCAGTGTTTACTCCCATACAGCAGTGCAGCAGCCTAATAACTCAACATTTATTTGTTTTTGTGTTGTCTGATGTCTGACCACCAATCGGCTTCCCATTAACAAAGCTGAAAGGTAAAGGATATTGTTGTAAAACATAATAAAGCACAGTGTGTATTTGAACAGCATCAACTGAAAAGATGAAAAACCAATGTTAAAAAATATATATTATTGTTATAAGTCTGGCAGGAATCAAGCGATGACAGTTAATTCACAATTTAACAAGGTCTTTCACATATTTTGATTTGGAAAGGGGTGCATATGAAATCATTTGAAAGCTGTTCTTTTATCCAATTTGCTTGACAAGAACTTTCTTTTTATAATCGTAAAGCTTTACTTGAGACAAAAAAAGCAAGAAAGGGGCAAATAGTTCTTCACATAACTGTGTTTGTGCAGTTATTACTTCACATAATGGAGCAATTGTACAACTTGCCTCAAAGGACAATATCCTGAAAAGCTAAACATTTAATACTCATCCGTCAATAACCCCAACTCTCCGACTCTCCTTACAGCACAGCCTCCTGTATTGCTCTCTTTTGAAGATTTGTGTCTTTTTCTTGAACTGCTCACTGGCCAGGATATACAGCACAGGGTCCAGACAGCTGCTGAAACTACAGAGAGCTTCACAGAGCTCAAAAGCTGCACAGAGGCAAGTGGAGTCGGGCAGTTTCACCAAGCTACGAGCCGGCATAAAAGTCAGAGCGACGGCCATGAAGTGATAAGGCACAAAAGAGGCTGCAGAGACGAAGATAGCTGCGGCGATGAGTTGCAGCGGCTTCCTGCTCGCTTGTTGGAGTTCCTTGTTCCTTCTTTCTCTTGAACGGCGCCTCAAAACACAAAGGGTCATTATGGAAAAAGCTAGCATGGCACTGAAGGGGAGCAGAAAGCACAGTGTCGTTCTGATAATGGGGAATATTTTGAATGGAGGGAAACAATTGTGGACGTGACTCGTACACATGTTGGAGTTTTCACAAATAGTTACAAATAAGTCTGGAACGATGCCCAGAAGAAGTCCGAACCATGTCAACGCCGAGCAGATCTTGGCTTTACCCACATTCCACCAGCGAACAGAGCTGATGGGATGGACCGTCCCTACATAGCGGTCAAAACTGATCAGACAGATGAAGACGATGCT